CTTGAGCATTGAATTCTCCAGCAACCACCACGATGTCTGTTGACCGAGCAGTTGAGAGAGGTCCTTGTAGAATTCATCCTTCACTTATGGAGAACTGTAATCTGTCGGTGCATACGCGGNATTGACGCTTCGTTCTGTAGCTGTTGACGCGTACTGAACCATCCAGACGTACGGCGCAAAGTCGGCTGTTAACCGTGATCCAATCGAAAAGTAAACGCTAGGCCTTGGCACAGCGCAATCCCAACACCAGCAACACCGCGAGCTTCGGATGTCGAATCACCTGACACACGGAGAGTGAAGCGTGAGGAGGTGGTTGGATCTGTGGAACGCAAGAAGATGATTGAAGAAGGGTTTTGTATTCATGTTTCGGAGACACAGCATACATCTAAATGGAAGGTTTCAAGGGTTCTAGCTAAGGTAGCTTGTTGACCATACTGATAGAATGTGCGGAGATTAAATGCGGCTAAGTGGAAAAGAGATTTTGGTTTCAAAAATGTGATAGCCTCTGAGTGGTTGACCTTATTAGATGAACACTGAGCGGTATCCGATGGATGGTGCAAACAGGATGCATCTCTCAAAGTATGGGAGTGAGAAGAGGAAATAGACAGTTGAGAAAGACGGTTCTCCAAATGGGTACCCAAGACTTTTGGGTACGGCATACTTCGCGGTTGCCCACACGGACGAAGGGGTTTTTCTTTGGGAACCCTGACCGGAACCTTTGACCCAAAAGTCTGACTTGCAAGGCAGCGGGAATTAACCATAATAAAAATTTGAGTTTTAGTATTCTGACGGCTAACAAAACTTATCAAGGAATGCCATGCCTGTTGACAGAAATACGAAGGAAATAGAATGGTTTCATGTTCTATAACGATAAATTTGTTAGCAACTGGGCTTTTCGTCGATGATCAATCCTTCGGATAAATTATATGAGATTGGACATATTTTAGCCATTGTAAAGTTCTTAATGATCGACTTACAATTTTCTGTAACTCATGTTATCCAATTTCATCGCTTCAGGAATTCCACCAGAAGCGTACTGGCCTGGACTAAGGGAGAATGAGAAATTCCAACAACTCGTATTGACCAACACGCCAAATATAACTCTTTCATCCTCACAGTTCAACTCATCCGTCTCAAAGACAGTCACCAAGGAACCAGACGAGACGGCTGAAATACAAGCTTATACCAGCCACCTTCGAGGAACTTTGACCGAACGAGTGACCAGTTTAGATAAAACTGGGATCGATCTGCTCACCCAATGTCTCCATTTACTTGGTAGTCGACGCATAACCGCTGAAGACGCTTTAACACACCCTTATTTTGATGGCATACTCCCCAAAGGTATACGTGTTCAACAACTCAGTCCAGAACAATCTGTGATAGTCAATCCAGATGAATTATCACAAATTGGAACGAACAAATCCAAAAAGGAACCCAGTTATAATAATTTTATGCTCAAGAAACAGCTGGCGGCTAGCATGGATGATGTTCGTATTGCTTCTAGTCTCAAAAGCCGAGGTGCCTATGATGAAGGCTATGTATTGCAGCCACCAATAAAATCAAAAAGTCGGAGCTCGCACTGTATGTTTTCTCAGATGAATTCTGACAATCCGATTGATGAAACCCAAATAAAAAGCAAGCCTGCGCGAGGTAGTTCTTTTAATGAAACCGCAAAGGATTTACCCGAAACTGGCAGAGGTGAGCATTTATATGCAACCATTCCATCTCCCGGTGTGCGATCCAGATCTAGCCTTTCGTCCGCGTCCAAGTCTAATAGTCGACGCGTTAAATTCGAAGTTGTTGGTTACGATGTTTCGACGTACCGGAATGAAAATCCAGCTACACACACCCGCGATTCGTACGCCTCTTTCAATGGAGACACGCATGGTTTCAATGAAATACGGGAACTACCGCAGCTTTCGAGTTCATCCGTTTCATCTTCTGTGTGGCCCGTCGTGACCAATCAACCTGTGAGGTCAAACCATCGACCGGGGACTCCAATACAGGTTAAAAACAATCCACAGCTCAAAGTTTTAAGCTATTCGAGAGTGAGTAAAGTAAATTTGTTTTCCTCGTCAAGTTAAGTCGTTTCTCTGCATACCAAGTACACCTGGAGTCTGTTTGTTCTATTTATCGGCATATCAAGTCTCAATTGTACTAGTAGTTCATCCTTAATTCATTTTTTTATATCGAAACGAGATACGAACTACCTGAGTGCAATTGTTATCATGCTGTTTGTGGTTAAAGACTCTCATGATCATTTCTGAACAAATATTGCTATGAAGGGTCTTATTTTCGTAACTTCTTCATCAGTCATCAATACAGCTTTGAATTTCCGTAATCCATTTTACTTCCACCATTCATATAAACGCACTCAAAAATGAGCATATCACAATGATTATGTATCAAAAACTATGCTATTCGAGTTATCATATATATTAGAATTAATTCACTACCGTGTGCAATATCGATAAGAGGTACACGATGGGAATTGTACGTCTCAGCTAGTAGATTATCAGGTCTTGTGGCTCATATCCTTCATTACCGGTTTTGACGATTTGCCGAAATCTGATTTGCTGTTGTTCCACGAAGCTAGGGCATGCGAACACAACCACATCTCGATAAACCGCCCAACACGTGGGTTAAACGAAAATGAAAGCAACCGAAAATTCTTGATGGGATTGCATACTAATTATACATAGAACAAGCCAGTCCTTGGTGAGATTTTCTGCATTCGCCTTTAGTTGTTTCGTTTTCTCATAGAAAGTTATAGTTTTCAATGAAGATTTTCGCCTTCCTGGCACTAATCTCCAACAACGCCATCCTCAAAGTGGTTCGGTTTGACGAACAACACACGAGGAAAGAGTTATGAGTGAAAACCCATCTGATTTGAAATGTCTCCTCGCGGAGCATATAAAATAAGAGTTAGTACAACCCAAATCGGATGTGAACAGTTCAGGATGTCAGTCGTTCTTGGAATGCGCAACAACTGCAGATCACAATGATTCAATCTTGTCACAGATCCTACAGTATGGGTAGCTGTCATCAGGAATATTCAGGAAGCCGACTTATCCTCACACAGGATTTGGTCGTATGAGAGTAAAATTAAGTATTTATTAAAAGATAAATGCTATTATGACATCAAACAAGGATGACAACAAATCTAAAAAAGGGTTTAAAATGAGTTTATCCGCAAAATTTCATAAGATTTTCATAAAACTCAATGATGAAACGAGTAATTCGCTTACCTAACTCACCCCTTATAAGATTCAGGGTGGAAACTGTCAAACGCAAAAGGGACGATTTTGCTGTATCGTTTCCTATGGATACTAATGTTGACAAGCGGAGGCGTTTGCCACATTCATCACTAATTTAGTACGTTCTGACTTCTTCATTTCTCATATGCAGTCGAATTCAGGCACACCGATCACATTGTTTAACGCAAACTCGAAAATTTCACCGACAAAATTCTACTCGAATAAACCACGAACTTTGTACGCACCGGCTAATAAAGTGAATGGGCAATTATCACCCAAGGAAACAAATATTGTGGTGAATTCAATCAATTCAAAATCAGTTGAATTGGCCAAACCTCATTACCTGACGAGACCAGTTTCTCCGGTCAGTTTGATTGGGAATAAGCCACACAAGACGATCCCGTATTCAACAATTGCAAATTGTGATTCCATTACACGTCGTCCGGTCAAAGTGTTTCCAATCCACCTGAACAACCAAACTCCAGCGTATGTAAGAGTAAAAGAAACTGACGTTCGAAGACCGCATGCGTCTGCTAAAACGATCTATATTGAACCGTTTGCAGGTAAATGGAATTTATTGCCATTACAAATAATTGTAATTTATAATATAACACGTTAGCTATTCGTGATATAGTTTGCTGCTATCACTCTGATCATGATCACTATTTTTTAGACTGAGAATGAAATCACACAATCGAGACTGTACCAGTCGATTTACAATGTAGTTTGTATTCTATACAAACACGAACAATATTTTCTTCATTTATCATTCGAAATTTTATATTACTGAGCGTTTCGAGCAATTCGCGTAGTTAAAATGTATTTAAAAACCGATACTACTCGTTCACCCTTTTTGAACCTTCCTTGCTGTCCAAAAATAATAATGTAATGGATGAACTACTTGTAAGTAGCTTGAGATGAGTTACAAGAAAAGAAAATCTCATCACATTTTCAGAGGAACTTTGAAATACGAAAAAGTGGTCGTGCACATGACGAGAGTTTGTTCGCCAAGTGCTTCGTGGTTTTTCCTTGCCGTAGGTATTTTGCATAAAACATTTCCCTAATCGAGGCCTAAGTCCAAGCGTTCCTCTTCAGAAGGATACTAAATGAACGGTTGGTTGTCCGATAAGCCAGAACTTCTACCAACAATGATTTTACGATAGCTTTCCATTAATATTTTCTATCTACTTTCTGTCTAACCCGCATCCATCTGTATATTCAATCGAAGTTATCTATGTTCTTTTCAGAGAAAGATATTTCCAATCCAGTNAGCTTGAACGGGGCCCTGGAAATGCTTGACAGCGTTTGCCAGTAGAAGGACTGCTCTGAAATTCCTCAATTACATCAGAGGTCATTCATTCCAAAGTAATTCATTCCTAACGCGCTTTCCATATTTAGTGCTACCAGTATTCTCGTACGTTGTTCCTTCAAACAATGACGTCCCTGTGATATTATTGTTTTGCCAGTTCATTCGACACGAGATGTACAGTTAATTGATCATTTTTCTTTATCCTCTTCAACCGAATATTTTAATTTTTCACTATATTGTATATTATACCACATACCTCATCTTGGAATTTTCTTATTGCTTATTCAGTTCGTTACTTCCGGTATGACAGCTTTGCAGAAGACCGATACATAAACAGGGTTCTATCCAGTAGCACAGTGGCCAAGCTGATAGTGCATAACGGCATTCAGTATGACGCATGTAAGCTTTGGTACCACAGGGTCTATAGTAAAGCTGATATTGCAGTATACGAGATCCGAATTAAGTGCGACTTCTTCCAGTGATAGTGCGTAGCCTGTAGGTAGCTGCTTCAGAAATAGGGAAAATAGGACAATGAAGTGGGCTAACATAAAGGAGGCAAACACTCAAACCGACATTGGGGTAAGACCATAGTCGGCAGAGGGACTGCCACTCACACGGAGATAAAAAGACCCTCGTTAAGTCAGCGACCTAAGTGCCTGAGCGAGAGAAACTAATACCAATTCAGAATCTCAAAACATAGCAGCCAATGCAACAGTGTAACCTCCTTCTAAGTGGACGAGAGGGCACAACAAGGGTTTAGCCACATACAAACTGGCCCCGCGCCAGATCTGTTATGGTGTTTGACCTACCAGAATCATGCTCATCCCAGCTGGTAGAGCGAGACATCCACCACAGTACATTATTCCACCGATGGTGTGTCGACATGTCACTCCCTGAACTACAACTAGTATGCCTCAGACGATTATAGATCTTCCAAGCACCTCAGGCTCTTTGTGGTGTCCCTGTGCTCAAGGGATGATACGAGGAAGCTTGGAAGAGACCTTAGAGGCATTCTCAAAAGCCGGAATACAAACAAACTTTCAGAAATCCATTCGGAAGGATCCAATGCCTCCGAAAGGCCCATAGGGAAAGCAGCTTTGGTCTATAAGCATCATCCCGTACTGCGTTTACGAATTGAGAGGAGTTAACCCTAAGATGATATACAATATAACCTGCACAAAGTACCTATGTGGTGTCCAAACTGGAAATCAAAGCGCTTAGCGATCTAAGTCGACTGATCAGAGCAAAGCGCTGGATGCACATACTGCTGCTCACAGTAACGTCCTTCACCGAACCAATGGCTCAAGAGATCATTTAGAAATTGAGCACCCTAAAACATTACTTCCCGTCAGACACATCTAATCGCTTCGGGTCTAAGTGTGAACTCCAGGAACGGCGGCATGAAGGTATTCTGTCAGTGTCTGACCACTATGTTGTGTAGCTTGATCCATCACGGTATTCCCACTTTGAGTAAAATATAACTGGAGAATGGCAGCTCTGTTCGAACTGGCAGTCCAAACCTAGCTGACATAGATAACCCGCACACATAGAGCGACCAGTTGCGAACAACAGCAGAATCATGCATACCAGCAAGGCACCATCCAGCCATCCATAGCTGAATTGAATAGAGTTAAAAGAAACAACAAAATGAGGTTCGAAAGGAAGTGCATGAAGTTAAAGCAAGCGATCCACAATACCAATGACTTTTCTCTAGTAATGCAGTTGGATTCTCTTATGATTGAAGCCAAAATGAAATGACTAAACTCATACAATAAGAGCAAATAGCCTTGAGAAAACCCAATAAAACTGTATTCTTCTCAAGGATCTTCAAATTTTGATCACCCAAACCTAAACACTTTGTCCCCCAAGTTATTTTTAAAGGCAGTACTGTTTTAAACACGCCTAGGACAATTGCAGAATCCTTTAACGTAATCCTTGTCTCCAATCTGACAAATGCACTAATAGTGAACATCCTAGCAATCGCAGTACTCACTTCGGTGACTTTATCTACGATCAACTTCAACCGAGAGGACATCGTCCCCCTAGTAAATCAAATCAAATCATCTCGTCTCCCAGGCCTTGACTCTCTCTCACCATCTATTCTCATGTTCGGCCTTACAGATATATCCATTTTATTGCTAAACCTATTGAACATTTCTCTCACGAGCGGCATTGTACCTTTACAGTGGAAAACTTCGGTAATTATGCCAAGGCTCATAAGAGGTTCCCCCACGACCAAAGCAGTTACCATCCAATCAATCACATACCAATAGTTTTTAGACCAATGAAAAGAATTATTGAAACACAACTCACTACTTTTCTTTTCTCTAACGGGATGATCAATGCGAAACAGTATGGCTTCATTCAAAGTCGATCTTGCATTTCTTGCCAAC